ACTCTCCATCGCAACATGCCCTATTTAACAATGTGTGGGCTGGGGTGGAGTCCTACTCCCATAGAATTTCTGTCACCGGAATGCATTGTTCATCTTTCATAAGTGGGTCTCACACTTTTTAGTGAGGTGACATGAAATGGGGCTTGATGTTCATGACTATGTCACTCACTGTCATGCATCACAAGTACGTAGGTATCTTGAGATACTCTGCTGCAAAATATCATGGATAACCCCCTCAGACACATTATAACGACTCTGAGGCACCTAGTCCATGTTTTATCTGCTTAATGCCAGGTGCTATCGCTTAATATCTCTTGTTATCACATGCCCTCTGGGATTGAATATTTCTCTGTGATCTCAGCCACTTGTCCAAGGACCGGAGTATTGTAAATATTCCGTTTGGTCACATAACCTCACAAATATCAATCCACACAACACAAAATCATCTAAAAATTATGCTAAGAGTACAACATTTGCACAAGTAGCCTCACAACTTTTTGGCACTGGCTGGTGTTTACTGTAAAATGTCTGAAATAAACAAAAGAAAATAAGGACAATTAAGTCAGTTTTCAAGCCTAGTACTGGGGTACTAACACTTTAATGCCGAGTTGGTCAGGGGATGTTTATTGCAGTAGAAGATATCAAGATGAATATGGCAGGTTATTTGTAATACTAAAATCAAATCAAGTTTCCAAAATATTTCGAGTTCAATGAACAAAATATATGACCCACTATAAGTGACGCCGTGACATTTCTTCACTAGAGGCAACAGTACTATGACAACAATAGAATCAATGATCTGCCTGTGTAACATGTGGCAGTCTTTGATCAGTTGATCGCTTCATCAGCATGCACAAATCTCCTGCCTCCCTGCTGTCAACACTACTCAAGGGACTTATTTCAATCTTTCTCTACTCCTTGGATCCTGAGACCCGTGAAGATCCGGGGTAGAATTGGTCTTGTCGTACAAGGCGACTGACGGGATAGAGTGCTCATGCTCGCTGACTTGGTTGACATATGTCATTATATCCCAAATCGATGTTCATGCTGTTGATCAATGGATTGTCTGGTCCAGACTCGATTTTTATAGACCGCTGCCATATAGCGGGAATATTGCTGAGTGCGGCATATAACGAAACTTCGCTCACTCACTCTTGGATCCTGCTGTCAAGGAAAAAGTGATACAAAAAGTTTTCCAAAGCTTTGTCGAATCATTTTTTTCCTCTAAAATTGTTCTATGATTCATCAAGGTTCAGGGCAATGGCATGAGTATAGTAATTCCAATAGCTATGAAGTAATAAAGCGTGAGGTAGCAGCCATGTTCCTGTTAGGTGTCTCTACCATTTCTCCAGCAACCAATTTTCAAAATTATATAAAAATAATTGAACAATTTGAACTAGCCTTTCCTTTAAGTGTGGTAAGTGAAAAATCATTTTACCTTGTGAAAACATGATGAAAAACACGTTTTTCGACAGGAATGACAAGTTCTCTCGGTCAGGAGTAGGTCATGGGTCTATGTATTCTCCTCGTTAGTTTGTCTTCTCTGAGTCTGAGTTCAAGGAGCATCTTACATCGGTTTTGCAAAAGTGAGTGAGTGAGTTCAGTTTTACGCCGCTTTTAGCAATATTCCAGCAATATCACAGCGGGGAACACCAGAAATGGGCTTCACACATTGTACCCATGTGGGGAATCGAACCCGGGTCTTCGACATGAGGAGAGAACACTTTAACCACTAGGCTACTCCACCACCACTTGTTTATGCAAGAAGCGACAGATTGGCAGTTGATAGGTTGCAAATGTAATTCGTAACAGTTCCACAATTCCGCAGGGTACATTAAAAATAACAGAACAGATCTCAACCATGGAGAATCCAACATGTGTGTGTCTGGCAAGACAGTAGTCAATAGTCTCAAGTCTGGTTGATGGGTCACACTGCTACAACAATCGTAAGTCAGTGCTAAATATGGGAGTTATGACTGCCTTAATGCTCCAGTCCCTAGTGTTATTATTTGATGATATGACTCTTGCAAGTCAAATAGGAAACAGACTTACAAAACAGTAGCAATTCAAGCCCATTTTGGAACCTTGGTCTTTCAGAAACGATTGTAAAACTAGGACTGTCATAAGTCTATGTTAAAGAGTAGAAGTTACGACAGTTGAAGCGCTACGACAGCTTTGTGAAACAAACCCCATGCCTTGCAGACTTGTCATCACTACAAACACTGATTGATATGTACCAGTACATACTTAAATGATGATACAGCCAGTAAATCATGTCTAATATCGTAATAAAATGTCATTGTGGCATCATTAGCTGATTAATGTCAGTAAACATCTGGGGATCATTACACAGCCTAGAGACACTATCAATATTCCTATACAGCTATCATATCTTCTGCAGTCTACAAATGGAAAGAGTTCAACACTATCATCAGTCTAAATCAGACTGGTTAATGTTTAAAGATTCTTGTTACAGCAGACATTCATGAATCATCAGCTGCTTTTTCTCATAATAATGCGATATTTTCCTTGCATGACAAAGAGCAAACTAGAACACAGTATTTATGTCTATGAAGTCATATGATATGTGTTAAAAATCTCATTTCATCTATTAAAAAAGAAATGATAACAGTCGTAACATATACACTGTAATTGAGCGAGTTTTTATGCCTCTTTGGATAGTATACCATTAAACTAAAAACTAGTCTCTGAAATGAAAATATTTGACAGTAAAAACAGTTCAAATTTAAAATAAAGATGAAGAAAAAAAAGAAATATAATGAAAAGGAGCCCTGAGACTTCATTGAAACTGTTGAATTCTACACTTGCCACATAATCTAGACTTGCATAGGTTTCTTGGATATATTTGTTTCAGGGTCTGTATGACAGACTAAGTATACCATATATATGACCGTGTGCCAGCTCTGAGTTTGTGTTTGTTTTCATGCTCCTTTAAACAGTATACCATATACATTTTATATCACAGTGTGAACCTACTTTGAAGCAAATGTGATACATATAAGAAAATTTGGGTAACAAATACAATCACAAGTCAGCAGAAGATGTATTAATCAATATATTCAATAACCAAACATTTATTTGACATGTTAAATTTATGACAGGGTTAATTAATCACAACAATGACCAGTGCCTACATTACTGTCAAATCAAATAGATAAGAGTGTTGCCTGTTATCCTGCCTGGCTTGGATCTATTCCATTTTGCATTTATTGTCTGATAAATAACATCCACATTTGTCTTGAAGCTGGCGTTGTGGAAGCCTGAAAGCGATATCTTACTTGTGTTCAGATGCGGCTTCCACGGAAGTTAAAGAATCAAAACTACTTACTAGTTGTAGTAAAATATGCATATGATTGATGACCATAAAGATTTTCTATGACACAACTTGTAACATAGCGATTTCTTCCTCGGAGTGAGGTTGTGGTGAAGTAACAATAATATTGTAAGTAGTACTATATTGACACCCACCTCGCTGCCCCGAGAGAAATTGTTATGTTATACGGCTTTGTCATGCAAAATCCTATTGGCCATCAATAAAATACATATTTTACTACCAGTAAAGTAGTTTTGATTTTATTTCAGTGGAAACAAACCTAAATACCATTTATCCTCAGACTGGCCGGATGTTCCCGACGAAGCCGCCATCATTTTAAAAATAAAAAATCTGTTAGAATTAAGGAGATTATAGTTTGTTTTCATCAAGTTAGAAAATCAAGACTACTTTCTACTTTCGTAGTTAAATATGTATTGGAATCATAACCAAAGCGGATTTTGCATGACACAACTTATAACATAACGATTTCTTCCACGAGCGAGGTGGGGTCGAAGTCACAATACTGCGATAAATTTCTTGCTACATTCCATGGTTAATGTCCACTCCACCAGTATGTAGATACTAGTCAATGTGCGTCTTTATATTTGGTCTTATAATCCTAATTAGTTTATTATCATACTTGTATGCATTTTGAAACTAAATAAAAAGCAGGCGATCTGCTGATACTTATAGTGAATTTATAACAGAACTGTAATATCTAGACATTTTATAGTTTGCCAATGTGAATCATAATTAGCACACACACCCTAGTGCATGTTGTCTGTCTCATTACACTTACGGTGAAAACAATGATTCTGTTGAATGCTTTACGACAAATGAATAAAAACAAAATGCAAATATTAAAATTAAAACAGATTAAAGTTATAGGAACAATATCAGGCCATTACCTTGTTTAGGAATGTATCCATCAATATCCACAAAACTGTTCCAAATGATGTGTCTTTTAACAGTTTAATATCTGAAAAAAGTGATAAATCTTTTCAGGTATTGGTGTATAATCTCATTGGTCACCCAAGATAGCACACCTGGCAACTAATTGCATAATGTCCGCCTTTCTTTAAAAAACAGTAATTTAGTTAGCCAATAATGGGCAATCAATCAATGTATTGCCGGTTAATCCTTTGAAAGAAGGGCGTTGTTTTTACGCCGAACTTACCGACCACGACAGAGTGTATTCAGTATAGATTAGTAAATCTACATACATAAACACTACCTTTTGACAATTCCAGCTGTGTAAGATAAAAGTAATTAATCAATCAGCGTGTTATCGGTTAATCCTTTGATCGATGTTTATAATGTTGAATATTTACTCCAGACACAAGAAATGCCAAATGGGAACCTTTGTGAGGATGAATTTAGAAGTGTGTTACCACTAATTATACCTGTTATAAATTCATTAACTAAGTAAATACTCTCCTTTTTCAATTCAAGAATATTTGATTCTAGTGATCATCAAAAACAAATTGAACTTATGAAGGAATAAGGTTAAATTCACAAAAAACGCAAGTGAATCGTAACAGCACCTAAGGTGCAAAACAGCTGCAAAACCATATATTGTGTTTTTACCTTTTCACCAAAATCAAATGGATTAAAGTCACTAGCATCTGTCCAGCATGACCGCATATTTGTCAACTAGGATTCCTACCTTTGGTCGCATCCAAGCCACTCCTGCAAGTTTCCCCTTTGTGTAGAAGAGTGACCTGTCATCGGGAGGGAACTCGGGGTCGATGAAGAGTGTCCCCTTCTCCTTGCACTCCTTCTTAAGGGCATTGTAGTCCTGGCCCTTGAACTTCTTGACTGTGTCAAACAGACCCATACTGAACGTTTACTGCTAGCACTCTGCACCTGAAGGTAACCATGTCGGAACATTAGCAGCATAATCAGGTATTGCACACCAATCATCACAACTATTACATCAATCATCAAAACCATTACAATATACCATCATAAAAAACAAATGACCCTTGGGAAATAGTACCGAAAGCGATCACGGCATTTTAGCAAAAGCGACATGCTCCAGTAGTATCTAAAATCAGAGACCATAAATATTTATTTCATTGTGTCAGCTTAAATTCCCAATCATCATCACCAGACACCAATCATCAAAAGCATCACCAATTACTATTTTAAAATTAATAATCTCTCACAAAAACAACCCAAAACATTCATGTCCATTCTACTGAATGGTACAACCTTTGGTTGAAAATATGCTGCATAATATTTATGTCTACATACATCAAGAGAACAAATTTTCAAGTTTGTTGCTGGTTACATGTCCCTCACAATCCTATAGCATTTTATATGTAATACTGTCTTGCTTTCTTAGGTCTGATGTCAACAAACTGTGGGTACTTGTGCACATGTTCCTACATATCTGCCTACAATCCAATGATCAGAGATTTTATATAACGACTACTTTATGCACCAGTGTTTTAACTTTCAATAAATATGTGACTGGGCTGCAATCTGGTTTACGTGGAAACATGAACCTCGTGTAGGTCTAATCATGATCCTTAAACTGTGCCTCAACATCGAGCATTCAAGTACAGGGGTGTTTTCTGTTGCCATGATAACACCTGATGTTATCAGTGATTGACTGATTGATTGATTGATTGATTGATTGACTTTAGTCTTATGCCGCTTTTAATATTCCAGAAATATCACGGTGGGGGACACCAGAACTGGGCTTCACACATTGTACCCATGTTGGGAATCAAACCTGGGTATTTGGCGTGACGAGCGAACGCTTTAACCACTAGGCTACCCCACCGCCACTATTAATGATTGAGTCTCCACATTTATATAAGTTGTGTTATACCCACTGGTTTCAGCCACTTCTTTTAACCAGCTTTTGACCTTTTCTCTAAAAATAAATAACTGTTATCATCAGTGGACTATTATAATCAATTCTCATCAAACCAAACAAGTATGAGTCTTTCCCACATTGCTAAATAGAGAACTGTGATCACATGAACATTTCTTGATCATCATGATCATGTGCTGTTAACAGAAAAAAAGAAAAGAACCAAAACTCGCTTAGGTTAACATTTTCAAAGAATATTTCATTCATTTTCTTGGCTGAAAAATAAGTCATCAACAAAAGAACACACTTGCTTTTCTTATCAACAACAGCTTAAAAGAATAAAATACAAAAAGTAATGTTCTACAGAGATTTCATGGAATGCACACAACAGCATTCCAGGCCGCTGTGCACCAAAGCAACAGCTTGACAGGTTATACAATGGTTCTTAACAGATGCAATAATAATTATTACATAATGCCAAGCGTTCATCTCATTTCCCACCAGTGGGAGAACTACTCCTAACAAGAAAATAACAATGTTGGGTCAGTTGCTAGGCAACAGAAACAAAACAAAATGGCAAGAATTGTCATAAACTCCAGCTGTAATGGTCCACCATGACAGTGAACTAACAAATATCAAACAACATGGTAAAGAAAGGTTCGACCCAGTTTAGGGTGACCCAACCAGTACATATAATCATTGATGGAGGTTTGATGCCATTATTCCTGGTCAGCGGACATTGGTCATTAACATACGAATGCCACATGCACTGTTTTTAAGCCATTAATATAACATTGTGTTGTAAAACTAAAAAAGCATTAGTCCATGTCACACAGCAGAGCACCAGTTATATAATCTCTTAATCCCTACTCAGAGATGCCAACCCTAATTTAGCCGAATTAGTATTTTGGCAAAGAGCTGATGCAAAAATTAGCATTTGGGGGCCAAAATTGGTATTAACTTTTCCAAAGAATTTTCATATTTAATAAAAAATATATAGATATTCTAAGAACTTGTTATTAACATTGTACTCACCTAAATCAGTAGTACAAGTGAGTGAGTTTAGTTTTACGCCGCACTCAGCAATATTCCAGCAATATGGCGGCTAAATCAGTAGTAAGTATCTACATATAGCTTGATACTGAATAAAATGTGGTAAAATTATTGTGTATGATACGTATGCTATTTGATAATTTTATTTAATGTATTTTTTTTTAAAATCATATCTTTTTACTGCTATCGTAGTTGCGTATTTTGTGTTGTGTTTTTGTAATGAATACGATAAAATCGTATGGGTTGACATCTCTGCCTACTGTATCAACTACAACTGTAATTAGTCAGTTGTAGGATGGCAAGCAGGAAGACATCACCCAACATCACAAGAAATGCGTAAACAACCGTTTCTATATTGACGGAAGAGAGGAGAGGCTAGATTTTGTACAGAAACCAGATATTTTCTCACCTGCAAACTAATTTTTTTTTTATTAAACCATGAGCCATGAAAGTCATATAAAAAACCCATCTTACTACAATGACAGTACTTGTTGGTAGCAGGCAGTCTAAAGCTAAATTATTTGTTTCATGCATTTCATGGAACATTTTTTTACTTGAAATCCGAGCCCATTTTGAAAAAGGGGCACTGACTGTGGAACACTGTCCCTCTTTTATGTCATTCCAAAGCAATCTGAAAAATGTTGTGGCCACACACTGACAATAACAATGACATTTCCAAGGTACACTAAGAGAATGGTGAGTACTGTTACCTCCCAGATTTGCCTCAGAGTGTCAGAGGTACAGATAAGCTACGTATCTGAGTAAATTACACAAATATTTATGTTTAACTCAATTCCTATTAACTCTCTTCGGTACAAGTATGCTTCAATGTTTGTAAATACTCAATAGATTTGATGTTACATGGGTACAAACAAAAATAGATAAAATAACTGAGGTATATTGAGAGTTTCTATTTCAGCACCTGGACTTGGCAACTTGCAGTCTTTCTTATCGTTTCTCATATAACAGATCAAATATAATTAACAAACACGTAAACCAACATATAAACTTTAATATATTTTTACAATTAATGGAAAATGGCAAAATACCCAATTGAGTTTGAGTGAGGTGGGTACAATATATTTGGTTACTCAAAAGGAAAATTAGGATACCCAATTAAGATGAACACACACGAGTACATAACTCAATGACCCAATAAGTTATCCGTAGCTCTGTGCCTGCTTTTCAGGGTTGTGGGGTAGTCTGTAGTAAAATCCATTTCTAAGAGTGGTGTAAAATCTTACTCATTCACATCTTGTTTTTTCTACCATTACTTAAGTCTCCAGCATTTATCCACTATACGATCAAGGGAAGCAGTTTGGGGTTTAAAGACGACACCCTATTATAAAGTCTAATATGACAAAAGTATTGTCTCTACAAAATGCAAGGACAATGCACCGATGCTCATCAAGTAGTGAGGTCTGTTGACTCTAAGCTCTGTCATGTAAGATTAAGTCACATGAAACACTTAACACAGAGTATCATCATGTTGATGGACAGTGCATCGACATGTGGAATAATTGTCATTATGGTCATTAGTCAGTGTAGTCTGGGGTCATGAAATCTCTAAAATCTGAAGGCGTTCAGAGGCTTCGTCATGTTCAGCAGTCACGTAACATTTAGTCACGTTGAACATTTGACAGTCATGAGTATAACACATGAGCTAAAGTTCAAATTCCATTTCATGTGGAACGTGTGGAAAGCTGACACACCTGCTGCTTTAAGTGCGCAATCATGTCTCTTTTTCATACAAAACTATGGTATATATTAGTGTTGGAAATTGGTTAAAATCTCATAATTGATGATTGGTTCACTACAACCGTTCAATCATCGAAAATAATTGGCTATAGCGTCATTTATCAAATTTTCCCGTTATGATAGTTAATGCACAAAAAAATATAAAGAAAAAGTATGTAGTTTTTGGTTTTTTTCACAAATTGCACAAAATGCCTTTGCAAATTTCACATCTTCAAAGGATCACTAGTATGTTAGGAACATAAATTTCCTGGAGTCTTTCAGATAAATTCTATATCTTAAGTCTTGTAAGATGAAATGTATATTCAATGACAAGCTTGTAAAAATATTGTTAATGCAAACAAGTGTTAATGACTGACTGAGTTTAAACGCCAAGCAATATTCCAAATATATTGTTAAGGACACCAGAAACAACATTGTTAGATTATGAGAGCCAAAAATGATCAATTGCTCATCGCCTGTTCGATTATGAGAAAAAAATGATCACCAATCATTGATCAATCATTGAATTTAATTGAACCACCACTGGTATATATCAACAATGAATAACGAAAACAGTGCAAAGATTAGGAAAGGTTAATTATGACAGTCATTAAAAACCACTAAATAATCTATCCATTATATCTGTGCTAGGAAAATACTCCAAGATACCAATCTGTGAGAATAATGTGAGGTATCCTTGTTGGGGTTATATACTAAGCTATCTGCATATTGGAATTATCCAGATTAACTGTTCTTTATAAAAAATACCTAAAACTGACCATGGAAGTTGCACCAGGAAAGTACTGAAGGTACTATGTCTGTGAAAAAGCTGAAGAGCACCTGTTTAACATGGTTTACAGATCACAGTAAACTTGCTTCATAACAGGTGTCACAATCATTACAGAGTTGCTACAATTCTGATAGAAAATTTGATCACTGGTCAATATTTTACCAATAGCCACAATTATGTTTGTATTCACTTGGATTGGTCAATATTTTACCAATAGCCACAATTATGTTTGTATTCGCTTGGATTGTTTTTAATGTGCATATACTGAGGGAAAAAAATAAGCAGAGCTACAGATAACTTTTGGATCATTGAGTTATGTACTTGCTTGTGTTCATCTCAATTGGGTATCCTAATTTTCCTTTGAGTAACCAAATAAATTGTACTCACCTCACTCAAACTCAATTGGGTATTTTGCCATTTTCCATTAATTTTAAAAATATAATAAAGTTTAAATGTTAGTGT